TTTTCTAAGCCTGTGCCAGAGACTTCTGACAGGAAGGGAAGATTAATGTTAGCAGGCATGGTACTGCTTACTATGGAATGCTTCAGGCCAGCCCACCAGTGGGACTGTGCTGTGATTTGCAGTACAAGGAAAGGCTTTGTCCAGTTTTATCAAATGCCACATTTCTTACTAGCTTCTTGCCAGAAAAACACAGCAGGCATGCTAGAAAAAGTTCTTTCACTGTAAGGAAACTATTTCAATGGGACACAGCAACTGAGGAAGCAAGAAAATTCTGCTGGAAAACAGATCTTATACACTATTTTTCAGAACTGGAATTTTTTTTACTATCAGGAACCTTTTTGAAAAAAAAATTGTATCTGTAAAAATTATCAGAATAATACTCAAATTAGTCCCCAAAAGTTAGATTTTTGTAACATCTGCAAAAACAAATTAAAAATAAGGTTTTAATAAAATAGTGAAACTAGCCTATATGATTTCACTGTTCAAGCTGAGTGAAATGCATAAAATAAACTAACCTTGTAAATGGTGAAAAGAAAATCAGGTTAGCAGAGGGGAATTGTGAAGATCAATTAATGACTGTACAGTCATTTGGTTATGTGAAGTTCTATAAATTAAAGCTAAAAGCATTTTAAAAATCTAATGGTAGTAACAAAGGTGCAGACATTTTATTAAATATGACAGTGTGACTTACTGAGTATCCTTTGTAAGCAACGCTTGCTGATTTGCAGATTCTCCCAGTCCTGTATTAGCAAAGGATTGTAATTTATGCTTGAAGTTTTGTCAGTGTTATGACCAAATATGCCAACTAGAAAAGTAAGTATATTAAAGAGGTTCGGAATGCACAGAAGCTATGTAACATCTAATCTTATATGGATCAGCATGCATTTTATTACCAAGATTGATAGTTAAAACTTTCCTGTTTTTGTAGTTGTAGAAAATAGAAGTTTAGGGTTTTTTTTTTTGTATTCTGACCTCTTCCTGTTGTGGGGTGGGAGAAAGGTGCACTTTGTACAGTCTTTCTAGTTGCCCATATCTAGTGATCTTTTGTGAAGTGGTCTTAAATTCTCAGTGGCGACAGCTATGTTATCCAAACTGCAAAATGAATATGGTAGTAGCTGCTACCAAGGAGGAACATAAATATTACAAGGGAGAAAAAGAGGACTCAAAATGAAGAGACTGTCAATAAGCACTATGATCTCACTCCTGCTGATCAGCTTGAATTACTGGGCCCAGTTCCCCTCTCGTGTGTACCCTAATTTTACTCTGATGTAACTCTGTAGTTTCAGTGGGATTACTCCTGATTGACCCTGGTGAAAATGAGAAGAAAATCCGATCCACTGTCTTTGAGACTGGTATTCCCTTCAACGTCCTGATTTCTGTCATAGGGTGAAGAGCATGTGTGCACTCAGCATAGAAAATTACATGACACCTTTCTGGTGTATGCCTGCTAGCGTTCCTCATCAGCCTCCTCCCACTGTTAATATGATGGAAGGCTTTTATTCTTCAACAAAGTGTCTGTGTGGTGTGACTTGTTTAAGCCTTGGGAAACTAGCTATTTCACAGGTGAAGGTCACCTGGGAACTGCCTAACTTCCAAGCCTGTTTTGGGGGCATTGTGCCAAGAAAGAGGGAAGTGTTTTTGGCAGCTAAGAGGCAGGGCAACTTGGGACTCTTGGGAGGAATGAAACCTGAGAGGCTGTAAAAATAGTAAACCCAATAATAATGGGGGATTTCAACTATCCCCATATTGACTGGATACATGTCACCTCAGAATGGGATGCAGAGTTAAAGTTTCTTGACACCATAAATGACTGCATCTTGGCGCAGTTAGTTCTGGAACCCACAAGAGGAAACGCAATTCTTGATTTTAGTTCTAAATGGAGCATAGGATCTTGTCCAAGAGGTGAATATAGCTGAGCCACTAGGTAATAGCAACAATAATTTAATTAAATTTAACATCCCTGGGGCGGGGGAGGGGGAGACACATACGAAAGAAGCCCACCAAAGTAGTATTTAACTTCAGAAAGGGGAACGACACAAAAATGAGGAAGCTAGTTAAACAGAAATTAAAAGGTACAGTCTCAAAAGTGAAATGCCTGCAAGCTACATAGAAACTTTTTAAAAATGCCCTAATAGAGGCTCAAATTAAATGTATATCCCATATTAAAAAACATAGTAAGAGGACCAAAAAAGTGCCATCATGGCTAAACAACAAAGTAAAAGAAGCGAATAGAGGCAAAAAGGCATCCTTTAAAAATTGGAAGTTAAATCCTACTGAGGAAAATAGAAAGGAGCATAAACTCTTGCAAGTCAAATGCAAAAGTATAATTAGGCAGGCCAAAAAAGAATTTGAAGAGCAGCTAGCCAAAGACTCAAAAACTAACAGCAAAAAATGTTTAAGTACATTAGAAGCAGGAAGTCTGCTAAACAATCAGTGAGGCCACTGGATGATCGAGGTGCTAAAGAAGTACTCAAAGAAGATAAGGCCATTGTAGAGAAACTAAATGAACTCTTTGTATCAGTCTCCACTGCAGAGGATGAGCCATTCTTTTCAGGTGACAAATCTGAAGAACTGTCCCAGATTGAGGTGTCATTAGAGGTGGTTTTGGAACAAATTGATAAATTAAACTGTAATAAGTCACCAGGACCAGATGGTATTCTCCCAAGATTTCTGAAGGAACTCAAATATGAAATTGTAGAACTACTAACTGTGGAATGTAACTTATCATTTAAATCAGCTTCTGTACCGGATGACTGGAGGATAGCTAATGTGATAGCAATTTTTTTAAAAAGCTCCGGAGGTGCTCCTGGCAATTTCAGGCCAGTAAGCCTAATTTCAGTACCAGGCAAATTGGTTGAAACTGTAGTAAAAAACAGAATTATCAACATATAGGTAAACATCATTTTCTGGGGAAGAGTCAACATGGCTTTTGTAAAGGGAAATCACGTCTCACCAATCTTCGAATTCTTGAGGGTGTCAACTAACATGTGGACAAGAGTGATCCAGTGGATATAGTGTACTAGGACTTCCAGACAGCCTTTGACCAAAGTAAGCAGTCATGGGATAAGAGGGAAGGTCCTCTCCTGGATCAGTAACTGGTTAACAGATAGGAAACAAAGGGTAGAAATAAATGGTCAATTATGGAGAGAGGTAAATAGTGGTGTCCCCCAGGGGTTGGTACTGGGATGAGTGCTGTTCAACATATTCATAAAGGATCTGGAAAAGGGACTAAACAGTGAGGTGGCAAAATTTGCAGATGATACAAATTTACTCCAGATAGTTAAGTCCAAAGCTGACTGTCAAGAGTTACAAAGGGATCTATCTCACTAAATTGGGTGACAAGGCAACAAAATGGCAGATGAAATTCAGTGTTGATAAATGCTAAGTAATGCACACTGAAAAACATAATCCCAAGTATACATACAAAATGATGGGGTCTAAATTAGCTGTTGCCACTCAAGAAAGAGATCTTGGAGTCATTGTGGATAGTTCTCTGAAAACATAAACTTAATGTGCAGCAGCAGTCAAAAAAGCTAACAATGTTGGGAACCATTAGGGAAGGGAGAGATATGACAGAAAATATCATAATGCCTCTGTATAAATCCATGGTATGCCCACATGTTGAATACCAAGTGCAGATCTGGTTGCCCAATCTGGATAAAGATATTGGAATTGGAAAAGGTACAGAGAAGGGCAACAAAAATGATTTGGAGTATGGAACAGCTTCTGTAGGAGGAAAGATTAAAAAGACTGGGACTTTTCAGCTTGGATAATGGGTGACTAAGAGAGGATATGATAGAGGTCTATAAAATCTTGACTGGTGTGGAGAAAGTGAATAAGGAAATATGATTCATGCCTTCACATAACACAAGAACTAGGGGTCACCCAATTAAATTAATATGCAGCAGGTTTAAAACAAACAAAAAAGGAAGTACTTCTTTACACAATGCACAGTCAATCTGTGGATCTCTTTGCCAGGGATTGTTGTGAAGGCCAAAACTATAACAGGGTTCAAAAAAGAACTAGATAAGTTCATGGATGATAGGTCCATCAATGGCTTTAGCCCAGATGTTCCGGGATGCAACACCATGGCCTCAGAGTCCCTAGCCTCTCTTTGCCAGATGTTGGGAGTGGATGATGGGATGGATCACTCGATCACCTTTTCTCTTAATTCCCTCTGGGGCACCTGGCACTGGCCGTTGTTGGAAGACAGGATACTGGGCTAAATGGACCATTGGTCTGACCCAGTATGGCTGTTCATATGTGCATTCAATCTCCTCCTTGTCATTGCAGAGTGAGGGGGACAGAGTAGCTGCCAAGAGAAAGGTGTACGTAAGGCCATTTGCCTGTAGTGGAATAGTGTTCTGATACTCACTGAGAGGGAGGGGGAGACAATGGAACAGGGTTCTCAGCTGCAGTGACAGAGGCAGGGCTCTTATGAGAATAAGAAGAAAGATGTGTGCACTGAGGAGGATTCCTCTGTAGTACTTCATTGCAGAGCACTGCAGGCTTTATGCTCTCCTGAGTAGTCTAAGGGAAGTGGCAGTACTCAAAGGAAAGAGTATCTCTAGTGTTCCACAGTCTTCCCATCTAAACTCATGGCTACCTGGCATCTGTACCCTGCTGAAGCAGTCAAGTCAGCTTGTGTGAGGACACATTGTACAAACAGATGGAGTACTACACAGGTATGTGGGATGAGTGAATTGTTTATATGTTGTTTGCACCAATTCTGTTTTGTTAGCCAAAGCCTCAATAGAATGGGAAGAATCAAGCTTCTGACTGTCCTCTGCCAACTTTTGGCTGAAAAAGTCCGCAAAGTGCAGAAATACTTACGTTTGTTTAAGTGATGCACAATATTTGTCTAAGTAGATCCCATATTTATTGAATATTGACAAACTAACTTCTTCCATAGTTCACAATTTTTTGTTGCTGCTAACTGCTGTTAATGGGCAACTTTAAAAATGCATTCCTATTTTTTTATTTTTCTTTTTCTTTTAAAGGGTCTGTAATCGTACCTGCAAACAAGGCTGAGGCAGGAGCGACAGAAATTTCTCCTCCAAGTCCTAATCCTTTGAAAAAAGGAGGATCAATTAATTGGCCTTTCCCTGATAAAATAAAATCTCCTAGAACTGTGAGAAAACTTTCAATGAAAATGAAAAAATTGCCAGAACTCAGCAGGAAGCTGAGCATCAAAGGAACCTCAAGCTCTAATAGTTCAGATAATCCTTCTTCCTTGCTGAAAGGTGACTGTCAGGATACAAGCCAAGCCACATCTTTACCATCTTCTGGAAACGCAACAGCAGCTGCTAGCAGGAATGTTATAAGTCGCTACCATCTTGACAGTAGTGTATCATCACAACACGGCTACAAAAAGAAAAGCAGTGGGAGTTCCAAATCCTCCAGTAAAGGTGGTTATCTCAGTGATGGAGACTCTCCTGAACTTATAGCAAAATCGGGTAAACACGGTTCTGTAAGCAAGTTTGGGAAAGGAAAAGAGACCCTTCCAAGTAACAGCAATAAAACTGAAATAGACATTGATGCCTTTAGACATTACAGCTTTTCTGATCAACCCAAATGTTCCCAATACATATCCGGACTCATGAGTGTTCACTTCTATGGTGCTGAAGATTTGAAACCGCCGCGGATGGACTCAAAAGATGTCTTTTGTGCAATTCAGGTAGATTCAGTAAACAAAGCAAGAACAGCCTTGCTTACATGCAGGACGACTTTTTTAGATATGGATCACACTTTCAACATAGAAATTGAAAATGCCCAGCACTTAAAACTAGTGGTCTTCAGCTGGGAGCCTACCCCACGGAAAAATCGTGTTTGCTGTCACGGAACAGTGGTTCTCCCCACTCTTTTTCGAGTGACAAAGACGCATCAGCTGGCTGTCAAACTGGAGCCCAGAGGGCTTATTTATGTCAAACTGACTCTCATAGAACAGTGGGAGAATTCTCTTGATGGTCTAGTTGCAGATCGAGAGCCAGTGATATTTGGAGTAGGTGCTCGAAAAGTTGTTGAGAAGGAAAATGTGGGCTTGATGGTACCGCTTCTGATGCAGAAATGTATTGTGGAGATTGAAAAGAGAGGCTGCCAGGTACTGTAAACTCTTTAAAAAATTCTCCTATATCATGTGGCTGAATTTCCTTTTGCACTGTTATGTTTAGAATTTGAGCAGCGAGCAAGGCAATACAGTAAGTATGTTTCCCACAGTGTGTCTTTTTTTCTTTGCTTCTCCTCTTATTTGATCTCATCACTTTATTGCTGTCAGTGTGTAAATTTCTCCCCTTGCTCATTGTAACGTGGTGAGGAACAGTAAGGCTGGGTGAACCCAGCATTTTCAGCTGCTTCAGACCCAGTGGTGTGTTAGGACAATGGGAACATAAATAAAACTGTAGATTATGGCACTTGGAGTAACTCCTCAGTTAAGGCAGCGTTGGGGTTAGGACTCACCACTTCCTGACTTCCAACCAATGGCTCATTCCACAAGACTATTTCTGCTGCATACATGTTGAAAAGATATAAAATTCCCAAACACCCACAATTCAGGCACTGTGCCATCTAAAATAAAGTTATTTGCTATCATCCTGGCAAAACTTCAGTTTAGCAAATGCATTCACAAGCCAAAATGTGAAGGATCGACTCTGATTTGTCCCTTAGCCTTTCCTTTATTTATGCTGCTATACATAACACGTCTGCCTTTAAACACAAGCTACTGCTTGGGAAGCCCCCAAATAGACTAAAAACTTCTCAGGCCAAGTCTGGTCTACCCCTCTGGCAGTTGGACAAAAAGGAGACAGAACTCTCATTGTCTTCCTCCACACACACACTCTTTCTTTCTTGCTTGCTTTCTTTCTTCATGGGGGGACCCCAAAATTGTAAGATAAACTCTAAAATCTAGTAGTGTTGTGCAGTGTCTTTTGTTCATCTTGTATAGTTTATGGTTGATAAGTCTAGTGGTTGTAAAATGTGTTAAAAGAATCATGATATCTTCATCTTCCAGTAACACTTCCAATTGTAGACGCTGAAAAAAATTAGAAAGTAAGGAAGGTGCACAGTTCTCATGGCAGACTTCTCCTCTGGCCAATTTAATTGAAGTTAGCAGAACAACTTTCACATAGTGCTCCATAACATGTGTGAGGCCTGGGAGCCTCTGACACACACTTTCATTCAAGGTGTACGCTTCTGTTTGATGAACCCTGCAATTCAGAAGTAGCCACACCCCCTGGCTTGTTACATTTTAAAAATTGTGCCATTTTTGGTGAATGGTTCTGGGCCAAATGGTTTCACCACTCCCATTTTTGACTTTGATCATGTGACTCCGATTTTACCACAGCACTTGCTTGTTAGCATCTAGTCATGCAGATGATATCGGGCAATCAAGACATTACTGATCATTGAACAATTGGGATCTGAATTGTCTTCAGGTGCCTGGTGCTTCTAAGCATGAAATGTAATTTTTCAACCTGTACAAACAAGACTGAGAACATTAAATGTACAGTGCATGTTAATTTCACATTTGACTATCTATACATGAAACTTCTTGGATTTCTTACTGAACTACACAGAATGTAAGTTTGTGTTTCTGCTAATGTCACTGGTGTCTGGATGATTTAACGAGCTGTGATAGTAAAACCTTATGGCTAATAGTTGAGTGTTTGTCTAATATCTGCATATACATTGCTAATTTCTGCTTTCAGTTATATGCCTGTAACATCCATTGCCTTCATTTCTTAACTCTTCATGTACATCAGTGAGCCTTGGATCCAGGTAACTTATTTGACCATTAGCATATGGTCAAACAAATGCCCCTTTTTATAAGCCATCATATATAATATAGGACTCCTGGGTTCTAGTCTCTGCTCTGCTCATGACTCACTCTGTAGCCTTAGAGCAGTGTTTCCCAAACTTGGGACACCGCTTGCGTAGGGAAAGCCCCTGGCAGGCCGGGCCAGTTTACCTGCCCCGTCCGCCGGTTTGCCGATCGCGGCTCCCAGTGGCCGCAGTTCGCCGCTCCAGGCCAATGGGAGCTGCTGGAAATGGCAGCCAGTATGTCCCTCGGCCTGTGCCGCTTCCAGCAGCTCCCGTTGCCCTGGAGCAGCGAACCACGGCCAGTGGGAGCCGTGATCGGCCGAACCTGCGGACAGGG